TTGCTGGGTGAAGCCTCTCTCATGACAATTGGGCTAGAGACCAGTCTTTGAGTACAGCAGTATCTTTAGGGATCTTTCTTTCTTTCTTTCTTTCTTTCTTTCTTTCTTTCTTTCTTTCTTTCTCTCTTTCTTTCTTTCTTTCTCTCCCCCTTTTTAAGAGATAATTTCTCTGTTAGTTCCAGAATGTCCTATAACCAACCCTGTATACCCGATTGTCCTTGAATTCAGAGTTCTGCCTGCTGCTGTTTCTCTAGAGCATCTATTATGTATGCAGTACCATGGTGGGCTAGGAATCATTTTCTATACCAAGTCCTTGAGATATGAAGCCTCTTTGTCCTGGCCCTCTAGATGGTATTAGGTTTAGGGTCCCTCTCATGACATGGCTCTCATCATTGTCCAGCATTGGTGGTGTCTTAGTGAAGGTTTCGTTTCTGTGAAGAGACACTATGACCTTGGACTCCTTTTTATAAATTTTTATTTATTTATTTATTGCAATTTATTGACTTTGTGTCCCTTCTGTAGCCCCCTCCCTGTTTCCTCCCAGTCCCACCTTCTGTCCCTCTCCTCCTCCTATTCCCCTCCCCAAGTCCACTTATATAGGAGGTCCTCTCCACCTTTTATCTGACCCTAGCCTATCAGGTCCCATCAAGGCTGTCTGTATTGTCTTCCTATGTGGCCTGGCAAGAGTCCACACCCGAGGGAGAGGTAATCAAGAGCCAATCACTGAGTTCATGACAGAGACAGCCCCTGCTGCCTTTGCTAGGGAACCCACTTGGAAACTGAGCTGCCTATGGGCTACATCTGAGCAGGGGGGGGTCTAGATCCTCTTCATACATTGTCCTTGGTTAGAACATGTGTCTTTGCAGCCCCCCTCCCCGGGCCCAATATTTTTTTGCTTCTGTTGGTCTCCTTTGGAGCTCCTGTCCCCTCCAGGTGTTTCTCTCTTTCTTTTTTAAATATTTATTTAATTTATTTGTTACATACACACAGGGCCACAGATCTTGTTCCCATGTGGCTGCTGGGAAGTGAACTCAAGACCTCTGGAAGAGCAGCCAGTGATCTTAACCTGTGAGCCATCTCTCAGCCCCTTTGAGGTCTTTCTGTCTCCTCCTTCCATAAGATTCCCTGTACTCTGCCCAAAGTTTGGCTATGAGTCTCTGTGCATCTGCTTCGATACCCTGCTGGGTAGAGTCTTATTCCCACCAGAATGGCTAAGATCAAAAACTCAAGTGACAACACATGCTGGAGAGGATGTGGAGAAAGAGGAACCCTCCTCCATTGCTGGTGGGAGTACAAATTTGTACAACTGCTTTGTAAATCAATCTGGTGCTTTCTCAGATAATTAGGAATAGTGCTACTTGAAGATCCAGCCATACCACTCCTAGGCATATATCCAAAATATGCTCAAATATACAACAAGGACATTTGCTCAACCATGTTTGTAGCAGCTTTATTTGTAATAGCCAGAATCTGGTAACACCCTTGAGATCCCTCAACTGAGGAATGGATAAAGAAATTGTGGTATATTTACACAATGGAATACTACTCAGCAATTAAAAACAAGGAAATCATGAAATTTGCAGGCAAATTGATGAAACTAGAAAAGCGAGGTAACTCAGATGCAGAAAGACACACAGGCTATATACTCACTTATAAGTGGATATAAGATATATAATATAAGATAAACATACTAAAATCTGTACTCCTAAAGAAGCTAAACAACAGTAAGGACCTTAGGGAAGATACTTAATCCTCATTCAGAAGAGTAAACATTATAGACATAGGAAGTAGGAGAAGACAGGAGCCTCCCACAAGGGCCTCTGAAAGACTCTACCCAGCAGGGATTGAAGAAGATGTAGAGACTCATGACCACAGACTCTTAAAAAACAGGAAACAAAAAACATTTAATTGGGGTTGGCTTACAGTTTCAGGTTTAGTTCATTATCATCTTGGCAGGAAGCATGGCAGCATGCAGGAAGGCACAGTGCTGGAGAAGGAGCTGAGAGTTCTACATTTGATCCACACGCAGCAAGGAGACTGTGTTTTCCACTGGGCAGAGCTTGAGCGTAGGAGACCTCAAAGCCCACCTGCACGTTGACAGACTTTCTTCAAGAAGATCACACCTCCTAATAGTGCCGCTTCCATGGGCCAAATATTTACACACATAAGTCCATGGTATGGGTTACCTATTCAAGCCCGAACACTTGTCCACTCTGTAATCTCTGTGCCACCTTCACCTCAGCACATCTTGTAGGCAGGACAAATTGCAGGTTGAAAATTTTGTGGCTGGGTTGGTGTTCCAATCCCTCCACTGGAAGTCTTGCCTGGGCACAGGAGTTTGCCAGTTCAGGCTCGAAACTCCCCATGCCAGAGTCTACCATGCAGATCCCTAGGAGTTTCCATTGCTTTAGATTTCTAGCTTGTTCCAGAGATGCCCTCGAAATTCCCGTCTTTTCTCCTTGTACTTCCATAAAAAATTTTTGAAGGTGCATTAGATATGGTGGCATAAATGAGACCCAGAATACAATAGACAACAATGTTACCATGGGTGGACTGGACCCTGGATCCTTCATATGAATGTTCTGTGTGGGCAGAAAAAAAATGGAGTCAATAGCACGTGGGACATGCTCAATCATTTCACAGGTGAGAGTGGACAGTCTTGTATTCTTCCTTTTTTAAAGGAATGTGGTTAAAATGTCATAGGAGAATAGGCAGGGCCCATGATTCAGTAGAAATAATGGAAATCACAATCCATATATATGTATATATAGTTGTTGTGTATGTATATACATACATGTATACATAATAGATACATAGATGACACAAAAAGGTGATTGATAGATGGTAGACAGATGATAGATGATTGATGGATGATAGATAGATAGATAGATAGATAGATAGATAGATAGATAGATAGAT